TATAAATGAAGTTTTTTACATGAATATCACCGAAGTTACTCTGTTTTTATTTTAATGCACAATTAGTTACTTCTTCAATATATTAATTTAAATGAAATACTAATCTTTTTGTCTTCTTCAAATCAAGTTTTCTTTTTTTTTTTAGATTGGTAAAACTGCCATATCACAGTTTAGCTTAGATCTTCGTACGGAATCACTAAATCGATTAGCTGTTAGTGAACCATCCGGAAAGTTGGCAATTTGTGGTGGTGAAGCTGGCCTTCTGATCTTCATTCCTTGTTTTTTGCGATGATCCATGATTTTTTTTCTTTCTTTTCAAAATTTTTTAATATTAGTAAATAGTTTTGAACGTAGTAGATTGATTTCATTTTGCTTTAGTCTTGTTATTGTCATTTGTTGCTTATAGTAATAGTAATAACATTATTTCGTACTCACTTTGTAGTTATCATTGTCATATCATTTGTGCTAAACGATTTTTCTAGCATTTCGAAAAGTTACTTTTTTTTAATTGCCCAAATAAATTGATAAAACAAGTTTTGCTTTTCACATTAATTTCATGTAATGATGTTGCTATAAACATATAATTCGTTTTTCTTAGGAAGTGGATTCGTTTGAAAAAAAAAAATGATTTTTTTGAGTAGTAAAATTATCCATTTGGAAAAGTATACTTTAACTAGAAAACAGAAATTGTTAACAAACAGCTCACATTCATAACATAATTCATTCACATTCCATTAAAAATAAAAAAAAAAAAATATTTTAACATGGATGAAAATAAATGATTTAGCCCAGCTAGTAGCTGCGAAGAGTTTTCTTTGTTTTTGTTTTTTTTTTTTTCAAAATTCTGATAGCCTAATTAAATAGATCAAAGCGCTATTTGAATTCTTATTTTAAGTACAAAAAAAGCATTAACTAGTATTATCGATTCATATTAAAAATGCAAATATTAAATTTTCAAGTCTTTTCATCAAAATCATCCTCCTATCATCATAGTTTGAAAATAATTGATTAAACCATTAAAATAAAATTAGTTTTTGAAAAGAAAAATTCTTTTAAAATATAAATGATTGGATTATAATTTACAATTTGGCAAAATAATTCTTCCATTTTATTTTTTATTGTTTTTCCAATAAATGATAATATTTCGATGTTTTTTTTTTTTTTTTTTTTTTTTTTTTTTTTCAAAAATATATCATTACATTATACTTTTTTGTTTTGAAAAGAAAATTTTATCGAAAATATTTGGATTTTCTTTTTTTTTTGTTGTTTTGTGAATTGTTTTTTGCTGGAAATTATTGATTTACAATCGAGGAAGAGAAGATTTAGCTGATAAAATTGATAAGATTAGAAGAAGAAATATTCATTTGTACTTTCAAAATTATTCGAAAGATAATTGCAATAGGATATATTGATAAGATATTTGTGAAAGAAATATGTTGGATTATTTGTAATTTAGTATTATAAATAATTTTTTAGTATTTTAGTATTATGTTGAATTTAGTATTATAAATAATTTTTTTATTTCAAAAATATTTTACAAAATGTTCCGATTATTCCCTTACTGATACTGATATTATAGAAATGATAAATAGTTGACAATTAACAATGATAGATGTGATATTTTATTCAAATTTATTTCATTTCTATTAATTTTTCAATAATTAAATTTTATTTTTCGAGAATATTCGTTCATATTATTAATTGATTATGCAAAAATTTATAAAATAAGCAAATTGAAGAAAACGAAATTACTCTATTTGATAAATTATTTATTTCATTAATCTGCCAGAAAATAAATTAAGTAAGAAATGAAGGGAAGAAGAAAAGTTAAATAGTTTCATTGAAAAATGTAACTGATATATGTTGAAAATATAGCAAATTAATTTATTATTTTCTATGATTTTACAAAAAAATAAAAATAAAATTTATTCCCAAAAATTCAAAAACTTAATACTTTATCATTCTTTAAAAAAAATGAAAAAAAAAAGATTACTTTTTTAACAACAAAAAACGAAAAAACCAAGAAAAATTTGATGGAAACTTTAATTAATTTTAATTTCGAAAAAAATGAATGAGTTGTAGAAATTTTAGAAGAAAAACAAGAAATATTTTAATTCATTTAAAATTATTTTCAAAGAAAAAAAAAAAAACAAAATAATAAAAAAGCAAAATGTTTAATAAAAGGAAACTAATTATTATTGATAATTGATTGTGTGTTGAATGAAATAATTAATTACACGTGTAGGTGAATACACGTACGTAAGTCTACGTCATTATTTATGATTATTTTATCTTTATTCACTATCTTTTATGCATATCTTATGTATATCTTTAAATTATAGATTAAAAATTCATGCTATATACTTTCAAATATGTTATTTATCATTGTTATCTTATCTTTTCCACTCTATCATATTACATAGACCATGTTTACGTGATATCCATTTTATCACTGTAATCAGTCTTATCAATTCGTTACTATCTATCATATATTACAGCTTGTGTATACATATCTTTAGATTATATTTCAGAAATTTAGATTATGTATCAAAGATTATATATCAAAAAATTTTAATAAACATTTTAAAAATGATGAAATTTTTGATTATCATAAATTTTCGATGAAATGATAAGTTAAAAATGATAAGTTAAAAACTTTTTCTAAGCATTTTAAAAATAAAAATTTCCTCCGTAACAATTTTTTTACAAAAATTTTCTTTCTGTTAGTTTAATTTTAATTTTAGCAATTATTTAGGATAATGAATTTAGCATGAAATGATATACCAACTGTTGGTTGAATAGCAGTACTTTTAATAAATGTTTAATTTTTTTTAACATACATATACAAATTTATATACATATATGCAAAGAGAGAGAGAGAGGGAGAGAGAAAGAGAGAGAAGGAGAGAGAGGGAGAGAGAGAAAAGAGGAGGAAAAGTTTTAAGTAAGAAGGAATAATGAAAAAAAGAAATATATTTATACATTTTTTTTTTCTCATCTCCAAATTATATTTTATCAATTTAACAATACAAGAATTATCGTTTCTAATTTTTGAAAAAAGAAAAATTTAAAAAGAGAAGAAAAAACAAAGAGGGAGAGAGAGAGAGAGAGAGAGAGGAGTGGGAGAGGGAGAAGGCGAATAAAAATTAATAGGAGAAAAGGAGGATAGAAGTTATTTTTACAAAAAAAAAGTGATATTACGGCGATGATATTTTCGTATATCAGTATTGCTCACAATTTTTCATTATTCTTGTAAGAGGAATAGGAGAGAGGGACAGACGGACGGGCAGGGAGAGAGAGGGAGAGAGAAGAAAAGAAAATAAATTTTTTTTGTTCTTTCCGAAATCTTTTTTTGCTATTCTTTTCTTTAAATTTAGCATATTTCATACATATATCAATGTATGTGTGTATGTGTGTGTGTGTGTATGTGTATGTATGTATGTGTGTGTGTGTGTGTGTGTGTGTGTATGTATGTGTGTGTATAATATATCATCAAACTATTTGATAACTTTTTTATCCTTCTTCACTTCTTTTTTTCTTTAATTAACTTTAACTTTTTATCTTATTTTATCATTCATTCATTCCCTCCCTCTTCTCTCTCTCTCCCTTTACTAAAAGAGAGAGAGAGAGAGATTTATTTGCTTGGCTTTCTAAACTATTAGCTAGAAGAATCTCGACAAGTAACAGCTGTTAGTATGTGTGTAAAGAGGAACTTTTAACCGGAAAGATATAAGAATACCAACGAAGTAATAAGTAAGCAATTGCAAAAGCAAAAATTCCATTTGGCTGTAATAAACGGAATTCTATCCTTCTTATCCGAGAAAAGATTGTCTTCTCTCTATTTCTGCTATTGTTATTATTTCTTTCTTTACTTATTTATTTAATCAATTGTTTACTTATTTGTTTACTCATTTATTTACCTATTTATTTATTTACTTATTTATTTATTTACGTAGTTATTTATTTACTTATTTATTTTTATTTATTTACTTATTTATTTACTTACTCATTTATTTACTCATTTATTTACTTATTTATTTATTTATTTACTTATTTATTTACTTACTCATTTATTTACTTATTTATTTATTTACTCAATTATTTACTTATTTATTTACTTACTTAGTTATCTATTTACTTATTATACTTATTTATGATTTATTTGTTTGATTCATTACTTATCCATTCATTCATTCATATTATTACTATTATTGTTGTTGATAATGATAAAAATGGCTTGATTATTTCCATCTCTCCATGTTTGTGTATTTTAATTCCTTCCCTTCCTCTTTTCCTCATTTATTACCTACCACTATTATTATTATTATTATTATTATTATTATTATTATTATTATTATTATTATTATTGTTACCATTATTAATGTTGTTGCTATTAATGATAATAATAATAATAATAATAATAATAATAATAATAATAATAATAATTGATGAAGAAAAATTATTAAATGAAAGAAATTTACTAATTTAAAAATTTCTATTCGTCATTTCAAAATTTTATGTATAAATAAGAAAAGAATGGCTGAATGATTGAAAAGATGAGAAAGAAAGAAGAGGAAGAAAAAAAAAAGAAAACAAGAGAAAATTCAAAATGTTGATAAAATATATCACTGATAGCAACAATTCATGAAATACACACACACATACATATACACATACACATACACATACACATACACATACACATACATATACACATACACATACACATACACATACATACATACACACATGATATACTATTATTTTCATTGTAAATCATCGTATCCGCTGCAGTTGTTTTAGCTCATCCCACTGATCTTTCATATTTTGTTTTAAAAATTTTCTCGAAAATTTGTATTTTTCGTTTCGTTACATTACGTTTCATTTCATTTTTGTTTTTTTTTTTTTTCTCAAATTGCAAAATTTATTTTTTTCTTTTTTAGCCAGAAAGCTTATTTTTGATATTTGAATAAATTAAATTGCTATAAACTAAAGCAAAAATGGATGCGATCAAGAAAAAGATGCAGGCGATGAAAATCGAGAAGGTATTAATCTCTTCTTTTTATTATTATTATTATTATAAGATAAAATAAAATTGAAAATTTTGCATATTTTTGTGGATGATAAGAAAAATGATAAATATTGTTGGTTTTATCTAACAAATGGCAAATAAGTGATAAAAATTTTTGCAATTAATGCATTCAACATTTAGATATTAAAAATGTAAGATTAATCATTTCTATGGTTTAATTTGAAATCAAATATTAAAATCAAAATTTTAATTTGAATGATGGAAGAAAAAGGTATTTTCATCATACTGTCATATTAATAAATGCAAAAAAAAAAAAAATTTTTGAAAATTTCATACTATTACTTTTGACATTTTAAATATTAGAAATATAGCACTAATGAATTAAACAATAAAACTATAAATTAATTAAGAGATTAAAAATTTAACTTAAGTTATAAAATGAGTGATCAATTTTGTTCAATTTTAATTCAAAAGAAAAAAAGAAGAAATGCGATGCAAAGGAATATAATTACTAAATGTAAGAAAAAACAAAAATTGATAATTCATAATTGCTTGAATTTCAAAAAATAGCTAAAAATTAATGATAATAGTAGTAATTATGAGGAAAATTTATTACAATTTATATTCAAATCTTTTTAATCATTTTTTTCATCCTTTTAGTATTGTTAAATTTGTTTCAAATCAAAAAAAAAATAATTCTTCTGTCATTTAATTTAGAAAATTTCTGTTTGTCATAAATTCAATTCAAAAATCGCAATAAAAATGGAATGAAAAGATGAAATATTTGAGGAAATTTCTCTTTTTATTAAAGTATATAATTCTTTTTTCTATTAAATTCGATTCTAATTTTAATCCATTACTTTCATTAATGAAATTTTTTTATTAGTTTTTTTTTTTTTTTAAAAAGAAAAAGTATTGAAATGAGTAATAATTTGGATGGATTAAACAAAATTTTAAGGTTGCAAAGTTAAATAAATAAAATGCAAAAATTTACTTATTTATTTGATTAGTAAATATATTTTGCATCTATAAAAAGTATGTATGAATATAGAAATATTAATGTGTTTTGCTAATGAGTAAATATTGATATTATTAGGTAAGTAAAAGTATAATTCCATTACCATTCAAAAGATATTCAATACTTGAAAACTCAGTTAGCAAATTTAAATTCGTTTTTAATAATTTAATGATATATTTGTAAAATGGATCGAATTTTAAGGCGGACAAATTGTATATTCAAATGTTACGCTGAAAATTTTTCAAAAATATAATCAAACAAACTAAAAATTCCATTCATTCCAAACGATATTTTATTTGGTTATATCAATTAATTAATATAAATACTATAAAATACATTTAGTTAATATTTCCAAAAATATGCAAACATTTTTAAACTAAAAAAAAAAAAAAAATGAAAAATTAAATTAAATATTTGAATGAAATTACTATCATTTTAATCAATATGTATTGAAATTAAATGCTACATTTATTTCTTACTATTTTATGGTGAAGAAAAATTTTTCTATTTTTAAAATATTTTAATTGTAATGAAATATATTAATTGTGATTAATTTTTATATTATTATTAATTCATTATAAATTATATATTTTGCAAAAAAAAAAAAAAAAAACTAAATCTTTTTTTTTTTTTTTTTCATTTCATTTCAAAATATTTGAAATAATAATTGAAGGCAAAAAAAAAAAAAGAAGAAAAAATGGATTTTATTAAAATTATTTTGCAAGGATAATGCTCTCGATCGAGCCGATGCTGCAGAAGAAAAAGTGCGACAAATGACAGATAAATTGGAACGAATTGAGGAAGAACTTCGAGATACCCAGAAGAAAATGATGCAAACAGAGAATGATTTAGATAAAGCACAAGAGGATTTAGCTGTTGCAAATACTAATTTGGAAGAGAAGGAAAAGAAAGTTCAGGAGGTAAAATTTAAAAAATTTTAAAAAATATTTTATGAAATGTTTAATTTTTTTTTTTTTTTGCTAGAGATAAGTGTTGCAATAAAAATTGAAAATTTCAAATTATTTTTCATTTTAAATTTAATACGTAATTTTTTCATTTCATAAATTTAATTTTCTAGATGATATATATAATTCGTATTTAATAAAAAATTTCAAGCAAAAAAAAAACGAATTTTTTTTTAAATTACCATACTTATCAGTTAATTGATTTATATGAGCAATAAGAACTGACAACTTTTTCTTTTTTTAGTTTTAATTTTCAAAATTTAAGAGATTTAAATTAATTATGTAATAAAAATGATGAATAAAAAAAAATATTTTTTCCAGCTTTTTCTTTCAAAAAAAAAAAATAAATAAAGCTTTGTTAGTTTGTTGTTTACCATAATCCTCCTCACACGAGCACAATCTGTCAATTAGCAATCAACAAAACAAACAAATAAACAAACATCAACAAATTCAATTATTCTATGAGTTAAAGGTTTGTCATCTTTTTTTTTTTTGCTTTAAGTTCAATGAAATGAAATTGTTTATTATTTATTCATTTATCAAAGATATGTATATTACATTTCTGTAACATTTTCATATATTTTTTGAAACATATTTTTTTTCAAATATAATTCTTAAAGAATTGTTATATACTAATTAAAATTTATCGTTTTTTTTTTTGTTTCAACTTTTGCTAATAATTTAACGAGAAGCAAATTTTGCTTTTAAAATTTATTAAAGGAAATAAAATAGGATTGATAAATTTCCTATAATTATTCCTTCCTGTCAACCATTGTCCGTTTTTTTTTTCTTCCTCAAAAAATTATTTTCGTTTGTTATTATTGTTATCAGCATTTTTATTATTATAAATATTGATATGAACATTATTATTATTATTAATAATAATTACTCGAGATTGGAAAAAAAAAATAAATAAAACATTTCAAAAATTCTGCAACAAATTCATAATAAAATAAGTTTAATTTATTCAAACAATTATCTAATTTTTAATGATATTGCAGTTTACAATTAAAAATTTTAATTAAATCGAGACTCTATCCAATAGCTAAAATTGTTAGAAAGATGAAATAAATAAGATATAAATATGATAAATAAAATGATTAAACATTTTATTCTTAATTTTGAAATGATTCCTTTCTTTCAAAACTGAATTGTCGTAAATTTTGTCTAATATTTGGAAACATTTTAGAATTAATTTACATTATTAACAATCATTTTTCCAACATTTCATCCTTCTTCCTTCGGTCTCTATTTTTTTTTCAAAGATTGTGAAAATTTTTTATAATTAATTAGTTACCTAATTGTTGGCTGCAATTTTCTCTCTTCTTTTAAATGCCATTAATTAAGATTAATCGAAAAATACCGAATGTTTTTTTTTTTTTTTTTTTAAAATAATTCATTAAAAATTTTCTTCGTTTATTTAATTAATGTAAAAATTAAATTATAAATTTGAAATGCTTTTTTTTATGCATTTTAATCTTCATTTAGTACTGTTCGTATCATTGTTCACTTGCATTTCCGGAATTGCGTATTCCGGTTTGGCAATCGCAATTAATTATTAAAATCATATTATCCTGTACTGACATAAATGTTTCCTTCCATTATTCCACAAATCGATCAAAATTATTATTCCTAGAGTAATTACTCATTGATCACTGTCAACATCACTGTCAACCTATCCCAACATTAATTAACTATTTTAACAAATCCAGTTCATCATTATATTGAACACAACTGTTTCGATTAATTTAGTTAAGAATGTCAACGACAGGAACCTAAGACATCAGTGACAACCTTCCAAGAGATATCTCAATAAAACCACAAATTTTCATTCATTAGCAAATATATTGATATATCCTAAGTTAATATACTTTTAAACATCGAGTATTTTACTCTAACTATTCTCTCATACCATACATTCATCATCTTCAATTATCACAATCCATATCATTTCCATATTGTCAGCATTGATCCATTGAAATAATCGATAAATCTCGACAAATTAATCGATAAATCTCGATAGAAATACCATATAGTTATTGGTATAAAACATAAGCAATTTAGCAAGATTAATAAGTCAAACAATGTTGATTTGATTTAATTTTTAAATTTTTAAATATTGCAATATTTGCTTCTTTTTTTTTTTTTGTTTTTCAAAAAATTCCTCAAAGATTCCATTGGAGTAGCAGTAGCATTACTAACTGATATTTACATGTATTAACGAAACAATCGCAATTCATTTTACTATTTTCAATTCAATAACTATAATTAGACGAATGATCCTTTCATAAACAACGCATCACTGCACCGCGCTACACTACACTACACTGCACTGCACCATGCTACACTACGCTGCACCACACCACACCACACTACACAGCTAGGATCTGATTCGAACTCAAGAGTCGAGAGGAGGGAGCGCTAGGAGCACTTTGCTGACAATATTGATGTTGGAAGGGAGCAGTGATTGTCAGATTGTTATGCAGAGAGGAGCATCCACTTAGAGTAAGACGTGTGGTTTGCTGGAGACGTGAGGTCAGCTAGACGAGATGCTGTTGACCTCTTTGGTAATAGGTGATGATCACCTGAGGTCAGCTAGACGAGATGCTGTTGACCTCTTTGGTAATAGGTGATGATCACCTGAGGTCAGCTAGACGAGATGCTGTTGACCTCTTTGGTAATAGGTGATGATCACCTGAGGTCAGCTAGACGAGATGCTGTTGACCTCTTTGGTAATAGGTGATGATCACCTGAGGTCAGCTAGACGAGATGCTGTTGACCTCTTTGGTAATAGGTGATGATCACCTGAGGTCAGCTAGACGAGATGCTGTTGACCTCTTTGGTAATAGGTGATGATCACCTGAGGTCAGCTAGACGAGATGCCGTTGACCTCTTTGGTAATAGGTGATGATCACCTGGGTCAGCTAGACAAAGTACTGTTGACCTTGTCAAATTCTAATACAATTTACAGTAGCCAACAAAGAACAAAAGGGTCAATTAAACAAGTAGCTATACGTACCTTGTAAACAATCTAATTGGAGACAAATGTCAACAGAACTCTAACAATGTAAATAAGCTGGGCTGGGCTGCATGGAAGATAAATCATTTCTTACGTGGCATTGGAACATTTTATCCAATCATTCAATTTCGTACATATTTCGGTCTTTCTGGCATCACGTCACGTTATGCTACACTGCATCACGTCACGTTACGCTACACTGCATCACGTCACGTTACGCTACACTGCATCACGTCACGTTACGCTACACTGCATTACGTCATGTTACGCTACACTGCATCATGTCACGTTACGCTACACTGCATCAAACGATCACGTCATGTCATGACAGCATATCACACTACACATACGGCTGGGGACATGCTTGCTATTACTATATTCCCAAATGCATAAAGATATATCGCAGAGTATGTTATGTGTATATATACGAGTGTGTGTGTGTGTGTGTGTGTGTGTGTGTGTGTGTGTGTGTGTGTGTGTGTGTGTGTGTGTGTGTGTGTGTGTGTGTGTGTGTGGTGTGTGTGTGTGTGTGTGTGTGTGTGTGTGTGTGTGTGTGTGTGTGTGTGTGTGGTGTGTGTGTGTGTGTGTGTGTTGTTGTGTGTGTTGTGTGTGTGTGTGTGTGTTGTGTGTGTGTGTGTGTGTGTGTGTGTGTGTGTGTGTGTGTGTGTGTGTGTGTGTGTGTGTGTGTGTGTGGTGTGTGTGTGTGTGTGTGTGTGTGGTGTGTGTGTGTGGTGTGTGTGTGTGTGTGTGTGTGTGTGTGTGTGTGTGTGTGTGTGTGTGTGTGTGTGTGTGTGTGTGTGTGTGTGTGTGTGTGTGTGTGTGTGTGTGTGCATTAGAGTTATTTTAAAACAGTTGTGAAAATTTTAAAGTTGAGGAAGCTGATCAATGGAATTAAGGGAGCAAGAAGTGTATCATTAACGTAAGATGCCATCATTAATATTATTACTACTGTTATCATCATTATCATCACCATTATCGTTATCATTATTATTACCATTATCATTATCATCATTTAATCAGTAAAATTAACATTTCAGAAGAAAAGAAACTAAATCTTAAAAAAAAAAACTAAGAAGAAGTGAACTGTATGAATCGTTAAAAATATGTAAATAATTTAAAAAATTAAGAAGTATAATTATTGAAATTAGCGCAATTTCAAAATTCTGACCACATTAACATTTTTTTTAAAAAAAAAAAAAAAAAAAAAAAAAAAAAAGATCAATGATCATTATAATCTGTTAACCTAGAAAAAATTTTCCAAAATGATAAAATTTTTTAAAAAATTGGCCATTTATACAAACAAACATTTTTATCCAACAACCATAATTACATTTATTAATGTAATTAAAATTGAATTAGAATTAGATGAATAATCAGAAATGAATAAATGAATATAATATAGCAATAGCAATTGGAGAATTATAGCTGTAAATGATCGTTTATTATGCAAATTAATGATTGCTTTTTACTTGTAGATCATATCAAATTGTGATATTAACCATTTGCCATAAAATTTCTCATTTCAAAGCAATCAATTAATCACACATATTGCAATTCATCTTTAATATTTACATTTTGAGTTTTTGTAGAAAAAAAAAAAAAATTTTTTTTTTAAACTCTTTAAAGAGTATTGGAAATGAAATAGAAAATTAGTAATTATTTCATTATTTTATAAAAAAATGTTTTCTTCTTTTTTTTTTTTTTTTTTTTTTTTTGCAAATTTTATTTTATGTAATAATTATTTAATCATTTAATTGTTTTAAATTATTCCATCGTTTGCTCTTACCTTTCTGTCATTTATTTAAAATTTGATTAATATTATTTGCTTGCTTTTTCTTAATTAAAATTAATTTTTTATTTGATCCAAAAATTTTGCATGCAAATAATTTGCTTCACGTCAATGCAATCATCCAATTCTTTATTATTATTATTGTTGTTTTTATTTATTTATTTATTATTATTACCATTGTTACTTTATCATACTAATATTATAATTAACATATATATTATCATGTGAATAGTCTGAAAATGAAATCGAAGTACAATTTTTTAGTAAAATCATAAAAATATATGAAATATAAATGACTAATAACAATTCCTTCCCTTCATATTTGGTAGTTTTTTTTTTGTTTGTTTGGATTATTTCTTTTACACTTTCCATTTCATTTTCATATTTGTTGAATTAGTCATAAATATTTGTTTATCATTTTATATTTTAGTTATTATCAATGCGATTAGAAGAGAAAAGATTTGAATTTGAAGATGGAAATAAAATAAGAAAATGAAAATGTAGTTAGTATGGATGGAAAACAGATAAAATGAAAGATAGAAAAATTAAAATTGAAATTGAAATTAGTAAAATCAATAGAAATAGAATAAATGAAGCTTAGATAACATTGAATAGTTGCAGAAATAAAATAATTTTATATATTTTGCTGAATATTCCATTTACTAATCTTTCATCTCTAAAATATGTATCACAAATTGTTATCGTATAAGACTGAATGACTGAATGACTGACTGAATGGCTGACTGACTGAATGACTGACTGAATGGCTGACTGACTGAATGACTGATTGAATGGCTGACTGACTGAATGACTGACTGAATGGCTGACTGACTGAATGACTGACTGAATGGCTGACTGACTGAATGACTGGCTGACCGAATGAATGACTGACTGAATGAATGAATGACTGACTGAATGAGTGACTGACTGAATGACTCATTGATTAATTAATTACTTTAAGATTATACTATTAGCATCGTTTAATGAGTAATTAAAAGAATGTTAAATGTGAAACAGAATAGAAATAAAAAAGAATTAAAATTTTGATGAAAAAAGAAAAAAAATATAAAAATCAGATATTTTTGTATAAAATAATCTATAATAATAATAATAATAATAATAATAATAATAATAATAATAATAATAATAATAATAATAATAATAATAATAAATAATAAAAAGAAAATGAAAAAAAGAAGAAAAAGTGAGAATAATTAAACATTATGTAAAATAAAAAGAGAACAAATAACATTTTTGTCAAGAAGAGAGAGATTAAGGATTAAATCCGATTATTTCACTTCAAATGGACAATTTTTATTTCAAAGAGAGAGAGAGAGAGAGAGAGGGAAAGAGAGAGGGAAAGAGAGAAAAGAAGATAGTAAGAATAGAGAAGGAAGGATTAGATGAAATTATTATACCGCATGGTATCCGCATGTATATTCGGGCACAATGTTTATCTATCTGTTCACATTTTTGATTTCATTGAAATGATCGTTTGATAATTCTTATTTGTTTGTTTGTTTGTTTATTTATTTGTTTGTTTGTTTATTTATTTATTCATACTTTTTCTTTTTCGTCTTTTTATTATATTATAATTTACAAATTATAGAAATGATTAATGGGAAAATTATTTATAAATTTTGTTTTCAATTCAAAATTTGAATCATTTTCACTTTTCTTTCTTTGTTTTCTTTTCTTTTTTTTTTCTTTTTTTAACCATTAATTTGTTCTTATAAAATTAATTTAATTGTCCAAAAATATTGTTAAAAAAAATCTTTCCTTATTTCTTTTTATAATTTTATCTCTTTTGTTTGATAACTTATAAGCTAATTTAATTAATTTATCATTGAATTATGAAAAGAGAAAAGAAAAATTCTATTGATTTTTGTAGCAATTTATGTTTTAAATGTAGATTTTAATTTGAGCTTTAAAATTTAAAATTTTTTAAGAAAAATTTCCTCAAATTCAATTTAAAATTTGATTTCATGAATTATTTTCTCTGACATTTTTTTTTTTTATTTTGACAAATCGAGTAATTTAAATTGAGGATTTAAAATGGGGGTAAAAAAAATACTTCAACCATTTTCTATAAATTATAGGGATGTGTTGAAAATCCTGTTTTTGTTGGTTATCATCATCAAACATGATGTATTATTTATTGTACTCGGTTTCAGCCTTTATTACCCATCTTTTTACCCGCAGGGTATTAACCAACTCTCAATTTAATTACTGCAATAAAATGGAATACACAGCACTCTCATCCCTAATTGTTCCAGCATATTTGATCGCTAATTGATAATCACAAATAAACTTGAATATAATGATGTAAAAAGTTGGGCAAAAAGATTTATAAAGTGTATAAAAATTAAAATCAAGTAATTAAACAAGAGCATTAAGTAATTAATTCAAATTTAAATTATTTCGTATTTAAATTACTGGTAAATTTTCATCCAATTAATCTATTGCTTTTTTTTTTTAATCAATCAAAATATCCAAAAGCTTTTTTTTTTGGTGACTAGATATTAAATAATACATGAATGAATTTGGAATTCGTTTCTTTTTCTTTTTTTTTTTTTTTTTTTTTTTTTGGTTTTTGAAAACTTTCTTTTCTTCCATCAAAATCTTTCAAAAATTTTCTTTTTTAAAAAGAAAAATATCTTTATCACTCATAAATTTTTGCACAGTTTAAAAATCACATAGCACTAATTATTATCTATTAGTAATTAGTTACTATCAATTGAGGAAAAAATTAATAAATTTTGATTGTTAAAGTAATCTTTTTAATTCTGATAATATCAAAAATGCTAAAATTTTTTCGTCACTTATCGAAAAGTTATCGTTTACTAAAACTTATTTTTATCAAGAAATTTTATACAGTTTTCTATCTATCGATCTACTTATTCATACAGTTAGGTTTGATTCTTGATGATAAATGCTCAATTTTAAAATGAAATTTTATCTTATCCATCGGTATACATTATTCGTATTTGTGTTATTTGTGAAGAAGTGAGGAAAAGCGTTGTTTACAGTTAGTTCATTATTAGAAAGTTTCAACCAAAATTTCGGAGATTGTTATCAAATTGGTGTGAAAATGGTACAAAATTGTGATATGAAGCCAATGAACCAATTGAATGAAATATATTTTGCCTGAAAATTGATAATAATTTATTAATGAATCATTTTCATTGCATAATACTTATTATAATATATGATGGAATAATGATATGATAAAAGATGAAATAATTTAATATTTATACATTTGTTATTAATAATTTTTCATATATTTATTTGATAGAATTTATATCAATTTTATCATTTATTTTGCATTTATAAATAATTACAACAAAAGAAAAAGATATATTTTAGAAATGATAAAAGATGTATATGTTATCATCTATCAAAATGATTGCAACTGATAGGGATGGCATCAATAATCATTGAGAACCTAAGTTAAATGAAAATAGAGAAGATAAGAGATGGAAGATAAACTGATGATAGATAAAAATAACAAAATAGTAATTTATCTCACTAGTATAAACAATGAAAGAGATGAGAGGAGCAAATAGTTGAAAGATATTGCTTATTAATTTTATCACACTCAAAA